CCGAACTCAGGACTACTAACTGGTGGGACATGTCTCTCTTTTGCTTCTAGCCTTCTGTATTAAGTTCTTGTTTAGGTTGTAATGGCTATTGGCCTGCCTTATTTACTCTGTGGCCACTCATTCCTAGCTGCTACCTAACAGGGCTACCTGAAGCATTGCAGTTAAATATACTACTAAGGGTTCTCCAGGAAAGCAGAACCAATGGGAGGGGTGGGGCAGGGATATTACGCTAGTATAACAATACATAAACTAAGTAGCTAATAAACAAATTTATTTCTCACAGTTCTGGAGGCTGGGAATTCCAAGATCAAGGTGCAGGCAGATTCAATCTCTTCTGAGAGCTCACGTCCTGGTTCATAGCTGTCTTTTCCTGAATCCACACAAGGGAGGGGAGGCAAGGAAGCTCTCTGGGGTCTCTTTTATGAAGGCACTAATCCTATTCATGAGGGCTGTACCCTTATGACCTAGTCATTTCCCAATGGCTCTATCTCCTAATACCATCACATTGAGGGTTAGGATTTCAGCGTATGAATGAGGGAGGGGACAGGAACATTCAGTCCATAGCAATAGGAAAGTCAAATCTGAATCTGAATCTTGTAAGAATAAATCACTCCCTCCCTGATGGAAAAGATCCAGCATGTAGTAGAATGATTGCAAAAGTGGCCCTAGTGCTCCCCATTTCTGTAAACTCCTTGAAATACAACTTAGAAGCCACTTTCATTAAGAGATGGAATCTATATCTTCATGTTTTGAATTGGACTAGTCTTGTGCCTGGCCAGTAGAATGTAGCAAAAGCGAGTATGCTAGCCTTGAGCCTAGGCCTCTAGGTCAATTCACATACCAATTCTCCAGGTCTTTTGCTTGATTTTGGAACCCTATCATTATTATGAGAATAAGTCCAACCTTGCCTGTTGCAGAGTGACCACATGGAATAAAGCCAAGTTGACCCAGCTGAGTCCATCTTAGACCAGCCCCAGCCTAGATGATCCACCATCTGACTACAGATGCATGAGTAAGCCCAATTAAGACTAGAATAACTGTCCAATCTGTAGGCTTATGGGAAATAATTAATGATTGTAGTCTTAAGGCTTTAATTTTGGGGGTCAGGGGAATGTCATGTAATCAGGCAGTCCCTTGATTGCTAAGTCTACTTGTCACAGCAGAAAACGAAAGAGAATGGATGGAGAGAGGGTCAGAAAAGGATGGGGAAAATAGAGTTTTGCAATGTAGACCTGAAAACCTGGCACAGTCCTGTGAACTCAAGTGTCTCCACGAGGGTTCACTCTTTGTGTTTTTCCTTTGGGTTATGACAGTTATATTTACATTCAGTTTTATGTTTTCCTCTTCTGACTCTATAGTTTTCTTAAGTTAATCCCAACAGATCTGAAAAGTCTTATAGTCCCCTACAAATGAACACAGATACTATTTTAAACATTATTATTTTATTTCAAGTGATAGTGGTTCATGCACCTATTTTTTGAATAAGTCTTATTTTCCCCATTGATTTGAAATATCAATTTAATCATATATTACATTGTTAGCCAAATATATATGTTTGTTTCTAGAATACTCATTTTATTTCATTGATCTACCTGGTTATTTCTGTGCTGTTGTCATGTTGTTTTAATTGCTGAGGCTTTATAATGGATTTTTTAAATATTTTTTTAAATTTTTTAATATTTTATAATGGTTTTCACATTTAAATAAATAAATAAAATCTGCATTTTTAAAAAGAAGAAAGGAACTCCTACCTTTTGGGATAACATAGATGGAACTGCAGAATATTATGCTAAATGAAATAAGCCAATTGGTGAAAGACAAATACCATATGGTCTCACCTACAAGAGGAATCTATTCAACAAAATAAACAAACGAACAAAATAAACCACAGGCACAGAAACATGGAGCAGACTGAAAGTGACCAGAGGGGATGGGGAAGGAGGACAATGGTGGAGAGAAAGAGAAGGCACTAGACAAAGAACATGTATGAATGACCCATGGACATGGACAACAGAGTGGGGACTGACTGTGGGAGTGGGGGGTGGGGGTGGGATGGGTGGAGGGGGGCAAATGGAGAATAATTGAGACAACTGTAATAGAACAAACATGATTTAAAAATAAAAATTAAAAAAGCTAAAAAGTAAACATTAATATGCCTACTCTTGCTTTTTCTGTCATGAAAGAGGGAGGGAAGAGATGGCATTATTGGGTAGGCAAATAAGAGTGTCTACTTAATTGATATATTTTAATTTATATATTTTTGAATGATTGTTTTTTTTCATAGTCCTGTAAGCCCCACCACGTTAAATCCTTTTTGGACAAACATTTAATTATGCTTTAATGAGCATTCTCCTCCCCAATAATTTTAAGCTATCTATAAATATAACTTTTAAAATTTATATATATAGTTTTTAAATTTTCACTGAATTTTCAGGTGACATTTGTTCATAAAATTATATAGGTTTCAGGTGTACAATTCTATAATACATCATCATCTATATATTGTATTTTGTGTTCACTATACCCTAAGTCTTCTTCTATCACCAATTATCCCCTCTTTAACCTCTGCTACCTCCCCCCACTTCCCATTTCGCCTGGTAATCAACGGTACTATTGTCTGTGTCTATGAGGTTTGGTTTTTTTGTTTTTTGTTTTGCTTTATCCCTTCACCTTTTTCACCCAGCCCCCCAAGCTCCCTTCCCTCTGACAGCTGTCCATCTGTTCTCTGTATCTATGAATCTGTTTCTATTTTATTTAGTTCATTAGATTCCACATATAAGTGAAATTATGGTACTTGTCTTTCTATAAATATAATTTTAATTTCTTCATAACATTGCATTATATAGACACAATATAACTAACTTATTTCCCATTGTAAATTAAGGATAAAAAAAGGATGTTATCTTAATTGTTATGGATTGAGAGTTGGAGGGGGATATTGGAAATGCCTTTGTTTAATAAAATAGTTTGGTAAATTGCTTAGGAAGAGTCAGATCCTAAGGGATGCATGCCAGATAGAGCCAAAGCAATAAAAAAAGGTAGCTAAACTGGAACATGGTCTTCTGGCAAATGACAGGGCTGGTAGAAACTTGGCATGCCTCTAAAATCTGTTTGGAACTAGCACACTGTCGCTTCCACACATACTCCGAGATAGGCCAGATTAAGTCATGAGGACAAGCAGGAAGTCAGTGGGATGGGGAAGATTATCCCCACTTACTGAGAAGCATGACAAGAACAGGGAGGGAAGAAAGAATAGGAAACAAATACAATCTATGAGTGAAAAGCCTCTAGCAAGGCAGGTGACTGACACATTTTTAAAAATAGATGTGTCCGATATTCAATATGAAGTTTTTTGCATTTGTGTTTAAACTCTCTCCCCCTTATTTTCCTGTATTTTCCACCATCTTTTATGTGTACAAATAGCTCATGGGAGCGGAATTTGTAAAAATAAAGAAAAAGATCTGAGTGTTAAATCTGGTGAGCATTGTGCAGAACAGCAACAAGTTCAAGAAATCTAGATGGTCCCTATGATGAATGAATCCACCAGGCGCAGAGAACCAGAGCTGACCAGAAGAAGACAAGCCCTCTGGGAATGTGGAGAAATCTTGGGTGGGGGGGGACACTGACCTTCCCTAACTCATGAAATTGAGAGTTTAAGTAATTCTATTTACATCTTAAGAAGCAGGATGTCTCCTTGGAATCTAATCTCATAATGACTGATCAAAGGGTATGAACTTTTTTCAGGTACTTAATAAATAATGTTGAATTGCTTCATGATAAAAAAAGTTCAAATAGACGTGCAAGATTTTTCCACTTTAAATTGTCAGCCATATTAAATACCAAAAAAGGAAAACATAAAACAAGCTTTAAAAATAAGAAAAAATATGCAAGCAGATGACTTTGTGCTGAGCGATTTTATGTTCAAATTGGAAACTCCCTCAGTATTAATTTCTTAAACCTTGAGAGTTAAACTTGACCTTCAGTCCTGAGGAACCCAAGATGGCTGGTCACCCTCCTAGGCAGGGATGGGAGCCATCTATCCCAGACCTGGACTTGGAGAAGGATGAATGTCTACATGTATTCTCCTATGTTTTAGGTTGACAAGAGGAACCTGAAAAAAAGTCTCTTGTGCAAGTGGTTTACTGCCAATGTGCCCTCAGGAAGGGGAGTGAGGGAGGAACGGTAGAGCTGAGGGAAAATGCTAAGTAATAAATGTAGTGTCACATGAAGACTGACTTCAGTCCGATCCCACAAGGAGCTCTGGAACAGGAACTGTGCCAGAGATGGTTCCTCCTGGAAGTAAGGGGGAACCACACAAACAAAAGGGCAATTAGTTTCCAGAGCAGGTCTCTTGAGTGCCTGAGAATCACCTGGAAGACTTGTTAAAACAGATTGCTGGGCTAACCCCCAGAGTTTTTGATTCCGTGGGTCTCAGGGGAGGGAAAGAGAATTGTATTTCTAACGAGTTTCCAGATGTTGCTGATGCTGCTGGTCTAGCGACCACTGTGAGAATCATTGTTCTAGAGACAGGGCAGCTGTGAGGTTTTAGCAGCCAACACTCACAGTATCTGGGAAAGAGGATCTGAGTGGCATCTACTACAGGCACTAACTTGGCATCTTCCTCATGATGGCACACACCTGGGCCAAAGGATTGGCCCAGAGGCTGAGCATGGGTAGATTGCATTTTTAGGTCAGACTATTTAGATTCATAGTGTCCAATTATATGACTGTTGACATCCCGCAGCTGCCAAAGCATTTTTTAAACATTCAAACCCATCTCAGCCTTGCTACTAGACTTCAAAGGAAGGGGTCTGGCAGATACAGGAGCCTTTAAAGAGGGAGTAGCTCCACCTCACTAGGCATGCACAGCGGAGTCGGTTGCAATGAGTGAAAGGTCCTCAAGGGGGAGATAAATAATTGGGGGCAACCTCTGCAGAGACCACCTTGGAAGTTGTTTGATGTTTATTTGTTTAGTTGTTTTGAAATTAAAGTAAGATGACTTCTGAAGGCAACTTTTAATTTCATAAGCCCCACTTAGAGCCCATAACAAACAGCCCCCCCACCCTGAGAATCACCACCAAGTGAATCGGAACGTATAGAAGTATTCGTAGGCCCCTGACTTAAGCTGGAGTGTCTTCTTGGAGCAGTACTCATAGGCCACCTGGTACCCCTGCGCCTCAATGTCCATCCGCACCGAGTCCAGTAGGTCCCTGATGGCCGGGGCCGCCTTCCAAGGCCCGAATTTGACCACTAACCTCTTGTCCGCCTCCAGGACGCGCAAGGATTCCGCGCAGTACGCAGCATCTTCCTCCGTGCGCACAGCGCAGACCAGGACGTTGGAGCAGCGCGCCGCCACGGCCTCTGCGCGCGCCAGGCGCACCATGAGCTCCAGGTTCTCGCTGTAACCTGGCACCCGCAGCAAAAATTGCTTCCGAGCCACCTGCTCACCAAAGATCTGCGGCATGTCCTCCAGGAGTTTGACTAAAGGCTTGATTTCGTAGAACTGAGCCTCACGGTACACCTCCGGGATGTGCTGTGTGGGCAGCTGCCCGCTGCGCAGGTAGTCCAGGATTGCTCCGAAATAGGTGCCGGGGCGATCGATGAAGAAGCGGCCCTCAGTATCCGTGCATGCCTTGGCTGAGCTGGAGAACATATCTGCCAGCTTTGAGCCCGGAAGTTTTCTTAGGGTGCCCAAGGTAGTGGTGTAGATCTCGCCCCCCACGTTCAGCTCCACGACGGGAGATATCTGGGGGCACAAGAGGCAATGAACCAATAGCGCCACCTCCAGGGGGCTCATGACTTACTTTCTTTTTCCTTTTTCTTACTTTTCTTTTTTGATTTTATTTATTTTTAGACAGGGAAAGGGAAGGAAAAAGACAGAAACATTGATGCGTGGTTGCCTCTGGAGCGCCCCCTACCGGGGACCGGACGCAAACAGGCCGGCCCTCAGTCCACAGAGCCACACCAGCCAGGCTTACTTTCATGACTTTTTTCATCCAAGGAATAACCCCGTAGACAATTTAGGAAACCATGATTGGCTTCAGCTATTGAAAGGCCCATCTTAACTGAAGGGGTTTATATTTATACTATATAGCGGCAGAGAATGGGCATTTTAAGGAAGACAGAGATTCCAATTTGATATAAGAATACCCATTCAAGAATTTTAACTTTATCATTTAGGTCACAGAATATTAGTATAGGAGGCGGCTGTGGAAGCATGTCTCAGCAACAATACTTCAAACGTCGCCCTCGCTGGCGTTGCTCAGTGGATTGCATGCCTGCCTGTGAACCAAAGGGTCGCTGGTTCGATTCCCAGCCAGGGCAAGTGCCTGGGTTGTAGGCTGGGCCCCCGGTGGGGGGGCATGCGAGAGGCAACTGCATATTGATGTTTCTCCCCCCTCTAAAATAAAGAAAGGGAAAAAAACACAGTACTTCCAATGTCTGTGGCCTTAGCAAGGCTTTTTCCCTCCCTGGGCCTCATTTATAAAATGGGTATATGGAGCTGTTGTGAAGTCAGAAGTTCCCAACGTGGAAGGCTCAGGTCTAAGATAGAATAAAGAAAGGAGTCGGGGGAGTAAACCATTTTCAACTTTTCAGAAAGGCTAGGAAACCATGCATGCATTCATTCAGGAAGCATTTCTTGAGTACTTACTGTGTGTCCACATCCTGTGCTGGGAGTTAGGGATAAAAATTCTGATTAGCAGTTGGCATGACTTTGATTAACAAATGGAATTTGTTTGATGGATTTTATTTTTTCAAAATATGGACCCAAAGAGATTAAATAACAGGAATATCCTCAGTAAAAAGGCCAGTAATACCAGATACAATGGATGTAAAATGGCCTCATAAACTGTAAGGTTGGTGCAAATGTTAGTTAGGTTTAGCTGTTCAGTAGAATGTTTAGAGGTCGCTTCTCTATGCAAGACCTTCGGCTGAGCACTACAGATGTGGGTGCGACCCACACAGTGCCTGCATGGAGATACCCACAGTCCAGTGCAGAACGAGACATGGAAACAGACTCAGAGGCTGCATTTGGGGAATACTAAGTGCTGCCACACAGACCTAGCAAAAATACGAGAAGCCTGTATAGCAATTATTACATGTGAGGTGATATATCAGTTGTTACCCTTACCAACCAGCTTCTGGAACAACCTTTGTTATTTAAAATTCACTCACTCATTCAATAAAATATGTATTGCCTACATTGTGTCAGGTACCTGGGACACAGGAACAAGCAGAACACGGTCCCTTCTCCTCCAAGTCTAGTCTGCAAAACCCTTTGCATACAGCCTCTAACTCAATTCTCATAGCTATCCTATGAAAAACTATTAAATCCCCATTTTACAGATGAAGAAACTAAGGCTTAAGGAAGTGAAGTTGCCAATATCAACCAGCTCTTAATGATGATGTAAGCATTTGAACTCAGGTCCAATTTACCCTGAAGCTTATGCTCTTAGTCATTGCATAAATTAGTTTTCAAATATACTTCCACTCTTTTTTTCCCCCCTTAGTTATTCAATAAAAAAAAAATGTAAGGAGGATCTATTCCATTCAAGCCTCCTCCTAAGCAGATGAATACCTGCCCTCAAGGGGCTCACAGGAGAGAGAGGGAAACAGATAGCTTAGATGTGTAGGAGTTAAGAAGGAAGACTCAGAGGCAGAGGGTCAGCTTTTTGTGGATGTGTGTTGGAGGCTGGTCAGGGAAGGTTTCCTAGGGAATGTGATGGCAGCTGCTACATAGAAGACCTGTGCGGTGTTGGAAGGCTGAATTACCAACCTGAAAACTCTAAATACAGGTCGTGGCAGGGCCAGAGCTCAGGAATGTCCTTCTGTCTGATTTAGGTGTGACCTCATTCTCAGTTTGTCTCTGAGCTCTACCTCTAAGATTAAAGTACTGGGATTGAGAGAGCAAAGACAGCCAAACTGCTGGGGAGGAATTGAGTTCCCATGGCAACGGCTCCTACCAGGGGACAGTTCTGCTGGCTGGAGGGGAGAAGGGAGAGGAGAGGATGCACTCAGACAGCAGCCAAGCAATCAAGCAATGAGAAAAATAAGCCCAGAACCTGTGACTCTCTCTTTCATCCATAAACCTCAAGGTCCCTTGGCAAAGCAATTTGGTTAACCCTAAGGTCCCTCTGTGCAGCTGGTAGTTAAATGCAAAGTTGCAGACTTTAATGCTTGAATGGACTGATGTGTTCTCATCACTCCTGCACCGCTGAAAGCTCACAGGTGCTCTTAATGTCCCCATATTACAGGTGAGGAAAGCTCGGAAAGAAGGATCACACAGCTAGGAAGAGATAAAGTCAAATCTGGAACCAATCCATGCCAGTCTGGCTCCAATATACATGGGTGTCCTACCTCCACCCCTCCCAACATCCAGTTCCACTGCTGCCAATACTTAGCTATGTGCCTGGGGCAGCTCACTTCCTTCTCTGAGCCTAAGTTTAATCATCTACAAACTAGGAAGGCAAAATGGATGAAGAGAACTTTAAGTCTCTCCAGCTCTGAAAGTCTAATGATTTCAATCACTTCAAATGCCATTTCTGAAGTTGATTTCGAGATGCTTCACTAAATAGCTTCCTGCCCTGATATGCTCAGCCCCGTTTCTTTGTTTATCAAATAAGACCTTGGCCCTATTCCTAAATTTCCTTTTTTCCCCCCTAAACTTCTTAATTCCGTCCCTCTTCCCTTCCTTTTTTCCCCCAAACTCCCAGTTTCTTTGGAAATCCTAGACCTCCAACTTCATCCATAAGTACTACAGTATGTGCTCCTAGCAGATAAAGACTTCTTTGGCACCCTTCCTCGGGACAACCTGCTGTTCCTCGTGGCACTTAATTCCCCATCCTTTTCTACCAGTCACCCTGCCAAACCATTCCTGGGTGGGACAGCCTGTCCCAGGCTGTGAGCACGAGCTGGGGACACATGGTCTTTCGGAGCCCCAGCTGAGTGCCAGGCCAGTGCTGGCCATGAGGACACAAGGATGAATCAGACAGGTCCAGCTCTCACCCAGTTCTAGGCGAAACAGTCCTAGACATCAGCAACCCCCCATCATTCATATATTTCCTTAGGTCACCCTTAGTGGAGCCAATGGAAGGACATTTCCATTCATATGTACCCCAAGCCCCTCAAGATCTCTCCCCAACCCACAACCTTGACCGTTTCCATTATTTCCTGCCTCAGTTGTCTGAGCCAAAAACTCAGGCTGTAATCTTGCATTCTGTTTCCAACCTCAACTCCCCTACCACCATCACACACACCTTGAAACATACATAAATAATCAGTGACAAAATCCCGGTGACTATAAATGTTTGGTCGGTTCCACAGCACACTGCCTCGCTCAAGTGCCCTCCCCTGATCCAATCTCTATTCTGAAAACAAAATAGTTTTTCCTAGTGCAAATTTGATCTGTCTCCCCCCACCATTAAACACTTCAGTGACCCTACATTCCCTTCCAGATAAACTCTAGACTCCTTAACAAGATTCACTAGACCCTTTGCAAGGCTGACAGTCAGCTACCAGAACGGCTTGCTGCCTCCTCACCGGTACCTAGCCAGAGCAGGATGGGCCGCTCTTGCCTCCAGGACTCCACTATCGCATGCTCTCTCCACTAAGCCCACTCATCCTTCAAGTTAATTCCTCCAGGAATCTTTCTATTGCAGATGGGTCGTCTCCTTGTGATCCCAGAGGGCCCTGTACTTCCAGTCTGGTAATTACCTATCTTGTAATTTCCTTTATCATCTGTATCCCTCCATTAGATTGTGAGGTTCCTAAGGGAAGCCTATCTCTGATTCATCTTTATAGCACCAGTACCTACTACAGGGCTCAGCACACCAGGGATGCTCAAAAAAATTGCACGGAATTGAATTGAATGGAGCTTACCTGCAGCAGCACTGATTTCCAAGAGCATCTGGTATACTAATAAAAGCCAATCTTGCACTAACTGGCATCATGCACCTTGTTGGCTCCCTCCCTTGCCCAGCAATTCATTCAGACATTAACTGAGCACCTAGGGCAGCCCTGCCACTGAGCAGGTGACTTTGTCACTAGCCAACAACAATGACGTTAACATCTCCCTATGAGGAAGAGCCAGCCTCCCCATTCCTGGATCTGCTTTCCCTTCCCGCAAGTCTTTGGATGGCACCTAGCCCAAGAGAGATTAGAAGCTCTGCTCCTAGACTGCACTGGGCCTTTCCTGATCCTCCCCCATACTCCCCTCGCCCAAGCCCTGGGAGGGGGGCAGGCGGCCTCAGGGCGCAGCCAGAGGGCAGAGGCAGGCCGGAGAGGGTGGAATCTGACAGCCTTTGGATGGGGCTGCTACTCCCACCCGCAGGAGGGATGAGGGCAGGGGAGAGGAAGAGAGAGCGAAAGAGCGGTGGACTAGGACCATCGGGGGACAGAGAGAGGACACACACAGAGAAGCAAAAACAAAAAGAGGAGACAAACCAAGGCGGCCAAGCAGGAAATAGCGCAAAAGGGAGAAGCTAGACTGAGCCAGAATGGGAATGGAGACCGAGGCGCGAACGGAGAGAAATAAAAAACGCGAGGAACAAGCCAGGAGAAAAGAGCGCCCAGTCAGTGGTGGAGACGGCGCACCAGAAGCGGTAGGGGTGTGAAGTTAGAGCGAGGGGAGGGACGGACAGGGGACAATAGAAGGAGTGTAAAACGGAAAGGCTGCAGGACAAGAAGCTGAAGGGAGCCGGCGCCCGCCCGCCTCCGGCTTTTTGCACTCACTGTTGGCGGGCTGACGGGGGGCGCGGCTCGGCCGGGCCGTGGGGAGCGGGACGTCGAGGTCAGGCTCATCATCCCGTCCTTGCAGGCAGCTGGCACTACGCAGCCCGGCCGTCGCTCCTGCAACCCGCCCAAGCCGCCCAACCCGCCACGTGCGAGGTTCTTGTAGCTGGCGGAAGTGCACCTGCTCCCCGCCCTGGGGTGGGGGAAGCTGGACCCAGGGTGTGGCTAGAGCTCCGGGTTGGCTTGGACTGGGCCTGGCTTCCCTTGAGACCCTAGGCGAGCCACTGCCCGGTCTCTCACCGGGGAGTTCCGGGACAGCCAAATGAGGGGGGCAGAGGGAACTGACCCTGAAAGCAGACCTTCTACTCACTACAGTCCTAGGAGATAAAGGATCACCAACAACCTGTTTTACAGATGAGAGAAGTGAGGCTCCAGGAGATAGGATGGCCAGTATAGTCTATTTATCCACCTCAGATCAGCTGCTAAAAGGTGCAGAGTATGACCTGGGAAGAAAAGAGCTAAGATACTTGTTGCATGGGTTAGTTTGCTTGTTCAAACTATGTAAGTTACTAAATTGGAGACCTCAACTAAATACGGAGTCACTACCGCCTGTAGGGGAGCTCTCAAGCTTTACTACTCTTGATCGATTACCCCCAAACAGGGAGAAATGGATTCCTTGCATCTCCAGCAGGAAGATGTTTTCTATTTTACTAACCCGAGAGGAGGAAGGAAGCTTTTCTCCTTGCCTGGCAATAGCTCAGCGAATGAGAGTCTGTCACAATTTAGCCAATGAAAAGCCACTACATTTTGAACTCCCCGTTTATTCCAATAGACTCTTTGTAACAATTCCTCCTAACTCCACCCTTTCCTCTATAAAAGAAGGGTCCTCGCCTTTGTTTTCCCAGTTTGACTATGGTTTTGCAGCAACTTGCAGGTCCCAGATCACAATCTTTTGCTGTCCTCTAATATACCTATTTTTCCTGATAAATTGTTTTATTTTTTAAGATTTTTATTTATTTATTTTTAGAGAGAGGGAGAAAGGACAGAGAAAGAGAAGGGAGAGAAACCAATGTGTGGTTTCCTCTCGCAGGCCCCCTACTGGGGACCTGGCCTGCAACCCAGGCATGTGCCCTGACTGGGAATCGAACCAACGACCCTTTGGTTTGCAGGCCAGCACTCAATCCAGTGAGCCATACCAGCCGGGGCTGTTGTATTTTTTTATGTCAACAAAACATGAAGGAGGGGGAGCATAACTCCCACTCCTAAAGTATGGGCTGTGCACAGTAACTTTCTTCCGGAGAGGACAGTATGGAAAGGAGGAGAAATAGTAACTTTACAATGTAGAAACTGACAAACATTTTAGCCAGCTGTCAGGATCAACATCGAGTCATAAATCGTGATGATAGTAAGTACTCTTGATATGAGAGAAAAATGGCACTTCAACTTTTTTATCTTTCTTCCCATACCCCATAACCCTAGTTTAATCATGAGAAAAACATCCAACATATTCCAATAGAGGGGCATCCTATAATATACTAGACCAGCGATTCTCAGAACTGTCAAGGTCATCAAAAACAAGGAAAATCTAAGAAAATGTCACAGCCAAGAGTATCCTAAGGAGACATAACAACTAAATGTAATACAATGTGGTATCCTGGAGCCAGAAATATACATTAGGTAAAAACTAAGAAAATATTAATAAGCTGCTGGCTTTACTTAATAATAGTCTATCAATATTGGTTCATTAATTGTAACAAATATACCATACTAATGTGTTATTCTAAGAATATGGGAAACAGAATAGGGTATAGGAACCTTCTTAATTTCTCTGTAAATTTAAAACTGTTCTAAAAAACAGTCTAAAAATTTTTGACTTGATAACAATACAACTGCTATGGAAAACAATATGGAGTTTCCTCAAAAAATTAAAAATAAAACTACCATGTGACCCAGCAATTCCATTTGGTGTGTATGGTTATATACCCAAAAGAATTAAAGGCAAGATCTCAGCCCTAATCGGTATCACTTCCTTAGTTGGGCATCTTCCTGCAAAGCAAAAGTTCTCTGGTTCAATTTCTACTCAGGGCACATGCCTAGGTTGCGGGTTTGGTTCCAGATCAGGGTGCCTCTATGAGAAGAAACCATTGACATTTATCTTTCTTGTCAATGTTTCTCTCTTTTTCCCTGCTTTCCTCTCTCTCTAAAAATAAATGAATAAAATCTTTTAAAAAAAATAAAAGCAGGATCTCAAAAACATATTTGCACATCCCTTTCATAGAAGCATTATTCACAACAGACAAGAGATGGAAGCAACCCCAATGTTAATCAATGGATGAATGGATAAACAAAATGTGGTATATATGTACAATGGAATGTTACTCAACCTTAAAAAAGACAAATACTGTATGATTCCACTTACATGAGGTATATGAAGTATCTAAAGTTATCGAATTAATAGAAACAAAAAGTAGAATGGTAGTTACCAAGGGCTGGAGGGAGAGAATAAAGAGGAATTTTTTTAATGGGTATAGAGTTAAAGTCTGGTAAGATGAAAAAGTTCTGGAGATCTGTTTTACAGCAGTGTGAATATATTTAACACTACTGAGCTGTACACTTAAGAATAGTTAAGATGTAAATTCAACATTCTGTGTTTTTGTACCACAGTAAAAAAGGAAAAAAAGATGACTCTTGGTCATAAACTAATGGTACAGGAACTTGAAAAATATAGTAACAATAATAACCAATTGGTATCTGGTGAAAAAAGATAAAGCTTTGGAGTGAGACAACTGGGAATGGAACTCTGAACCTGCAATTTATCAGCGGTGTGACCATCTGTCACTTTCCCTCTCTAAACCCAAATTGCTTCTTGTGTAAATACATTCAAATACTTACTTTGCTGGGTTGTTGTGAAATAATCTGTCAGTGTTTCCCAAACTTCCCTGAGGCTAAGACTCAGGGTGCTTATTAGATACAAACCTGGAGCCCCATTTCCAAAGTACTAAGACCAAGGCAGGGCCTGAGGACCTGTATATTTAACAAGCATCTTGTCATCTTGGAAATTTTGGAAACACGGGCATGATGCACTTAGGAGTCTTTCCTAGAGTGGGGCTCAGTGAATGTCAGTGCCCATCCCCCCAGACTCCACGGCACCACCCATCCAACATCACCCCATCCAACAACCATGGCTACCTGTCCAATCCCTTCTGCCCCCTCCTCCCCATGTGGATTATCACTTTATGTATTCAACTAAGAATTACTGATACTGACCTTGGCTAGGGGTAGGGGTCTAGGGACACAGATGCCTGAAACATGTCTGTGTCCTAACAATATGAGCACAAAGAACTTTTATGAAAAAGTAAATGAGCATATGAAAATATGGTAGGCCTCTGTTACCAGTAATAGGGGAGACTAAATGTCCTGAAAGCCTCTTGTTAAAGAGCATCTCAAAATATTGAATATGTGTCTATCTCTATATCTGAGCTGGCAAAGAACTCAAGGAAGTGCTCTGACGTGCTCTGAGATGATTGAGCGCCAACTCCATGGGCTTCCCTGAGGTACTTTCAACCCTGAGTGACCTAGGACTTTTATTTTAAGGAGACAGAAAGTAGGAGAAAAGGTCTGGGCCACTCACAGGGTAGGATGTCAGATCAGAGACCATGCAATGATAAACTATTTTAAAATGCGCCACTCAAAGGTGAATGCTGTGGAAATTTACCTGTCTCATTCCTTGGTTCTGGGTGGAGAACAGTCTCCCCTGAAAAGGTTGGGCTATAGGCTAGAACTCAAGTAGATCTAAAGGCCAAGTGTTACCTTTTTTATAATCAAAACCAGGAACAAAAATCAGAAATTTAATTTAAAATGGACCCGGATTGGCAGTGTCCTCAGATGCCTGACAAAGAAAATAAAAACCCTTCCTGGAGGAAACTACAGTCAAATCAAGCTCTGGACTCCACACTGATAGAGTCCAACAAACACAAGCTCATGGCCTAAAGTCACTAACCACAAGAGGAACGAGGCACCATGAGCAAGAGTCAACAAATCCACAACCGCCTCAAAAGATTGAGATTACTGGGTATAGAATATGTGTTTAATGTACTTAAATAAATAAAAGGGTATATTTAAAACATGAGTGAAGAGCAAGGAGATATGATAAAAAATGACCAGGCAGATCTGAAAAAAGCCAAATAGAACTTCTAGAAATGAAAAAATTAAAAAACTGAAATGAACAGTTACTGAAACTTTATAGAGTTTGAAGACATCAATCAGAGGAGCAATGTACAATTTTTCATCATTTTGGCAAATATTGCTAAAATAATAATATGTCAGAGGTGGTAAGAATATAGGAAAACAGCTCCTCAAACTTAGGTAAATGGAATGTGAACTGCTATGATTTTTTTTTTTTTGAAAGTAATATGACAATGGCTGCTAAAATTTAAACAAACAAACAAACAAACAAAAAACTCCACAGACATCATGTAACCCAGTATTTTTACTTGTGGGAATCTACCCATTAGAAATAAAAGCACTACTCTGAAAAGATATATGAACAAATATGTTTATCACTGTTTTGTATGTGGTGGCAAAAATTAGAATAAACCATGTATGGTTGAATAAACCATGATTTGTTTGCGCCTTGGAATAGTATGCAATTATTAAAAAGAATACAGTAGATCCTACATCTGTTCATTTATCAATGACTTATTAAGCAATTAAAAATAAATATCAGAGCTCGTTGGGTCCTGACCCAGTTTGTGGTGACAAGGCTAAATGAGCCAAGGAGGCTGGAACTGTCGGTAAGTAGGGGACCCCTTATGGTGCCTCCCTTGGGATAATGGTGACAAAAATTGAGATCAGCCCACACACCAAGTACACTTGCTTCTTCTGTGGCAAAACCAAGATGAAGGGACGAGCTGTGGGGATCTGGCGCAGTGGTTCCTGCATGAAATGAGTAGCTAACGGTGCCTGGACCTACCACGCCACTTCTGCGCCCATGGTAAAGTCTGCCATCAGAACGCGGAAGGAGCTGAAAGACCAGTAGAAGCCCCACCATTTGAAACGTTGCTAACCTA